AAATATTCATGCCTTTCTATTGTTTAGTACTGAATGAAATTCGCTTCCTGATGAATTGTCACGATTGAGAAATCATCCGGCTTCAGAGTTGCACTTCCAACGTTCTAAACACGTAGTAACGTTTGCTATTTTTTTTATTTTGTTCATCTGCATTGAATATGTTGTTTTATTTACCTCCACTTATGTGAACCCCTATTAGCGTTTTAAAGACAACGAAAATTATGAATGATAATAATCAACACGCTCATAAACCCTATCCGCTGAGTGGCTGAGTGATACTAATGAACGTGCTCCTGCAATTGTCTAAGATATGACCATCTTAATGTGGCGTCCCACAACATCACGCCAGGCGGATCAGACCTTATATATCGATGTAATTCCCGTTCTCTACTCACAGTGAATGAGTCATTGCGAATAAAATATTGACGGTGTGAGTAGTTGTTACACTGAACAAATAATAAAACGTGGAAAGCCCTACGTATATGGAGCGCGCCAGAGTGAAATATTAACGTTGCCAGGATTTCTACATTTTTACAGAGCTGAAATATTCATATTGGAACTACAAAAGCATTTGAATGTGTATATGTGGAACACCATTTTCGGGGATGAATGCTCTACATTAATATCTAAAAGAGGATGTCTAGGACACCTCAAATGTATACTTTTAACAAAGTGTGTCAGCTTAAAATAGAAGCTGTATCACAATAATACACTGAGTGAGGAGTAGCGATAAATAGGTGTTGTTTTAAAAATTCGATTAACGAACTTAAAGTGGGGTCAGCGGTTTTTGCTCGGCCTGCAGCAATCTGTAAAGGCGCTGGAACACCGCCCTTTGAATCGCAAATCTAGCTTAGAGATAAGCGAGGGAAGTCTGACACCTCTGAATACATCACCTTCAGCATTTTGTTCTCGCTGCTATCTTTCTAACCTGCGCACGTCCCTCACCAGCAAGAACTTTCAATTGGCATTCCCCTTAATCCTGCTCATAAAACCAAAATAAAAGCTTACACATATATCCTGTACATTAAAACTGCGACGTTCATACTTACACAAATATAACGTAACGGCAAAAAACCGCCAACATTGGTTTAAACGTAGCGCAGCAGAAGGTAGGTACAATATAATTTTGTCTCGTCGCCCGATACAATGACACTGTGTACCCAACGCGCTGCATGACATGTTGATAGAATTTGCAATAAAAAAGTATTGGAACAAAGTTACGATTCGTTGTGGTTAAAAGTATTATATGACGCAGTAGCTGGAGTTGACGTAATTAAGACAGTGCATTAAGATATACCTAAAAAGTAGTACTTGTGTGCGGGTTAGATAAGAAATGTTACACATGAAGAAAACTAATTGTACAGAACAGTTCGTTCTCATGAGGCAGTAGCTTCCTAGCTGATTGGTAATGAAACTGTACAAAATTCATACCTAGAGGCGCGTTCTGTAGAAAAAAAACTGTATTTAGTTTTTCTTTATGTGCTGAGAGAAGTTGCTTTGGGGTCCTCCTTTGCTGATTTCACAAGTTGAGTGCGAAAGACCGACGCGGATAATAGGTTTTATGCACTTGCTCGTACCTCCATTTTTTCTTCTTAATATGGAACTGAATTTTAGAATGTTTCACAACTCGCGTTTGATTGAAGCATTGTGAAAAAAACTAAGCTTAAGTAAAGCCGCTAAAGTTACCTAACGCATCACATCTAGGAAAGAAATCTAAGCAAGAAACAAAGAAAGGATCAAAATACACCTCTACCAACAACACAACGACGGTAGCTCAAAATTAAGTAAAAAATCAGCAGCCTACAGCGTATCTAGCTTAAAACTTGACAAATATGTCCGATCGACAAAGATCGGCATTGGCCATGCGTGCACCGTTCCAACCTGGCGAGTTGTGGGCTTACTTATTTCAAGAACATTCGGGCAGCAGACGCTGCCTTCCCGACATCCTGCTCCTAACTCAACGTTCCCTAAAGCGATTAGGCTCAAGCGATTTGCCAATCTTTTTTCCAACCGTCCCTCCTTCCCTACCCGGCCTTCCTCTTTTCCCCCTTTCCTTCTCTCTCATTGTCTGCTCGTCCCTCCCTCGCGACCCCGGCTACCATCACCGACACCCGCGATCCACGCATCAGAAGACATTAGGGACCATTTTCGAAAGCTATCTGTCGACGAGAAGGTGACAATTTAAGCAGATTTCGTTTTGTTTGCTAACTCAACATTTTCTTCCCTCGTCCTCGCTCCTAGGCCTCCTAACATATATTTTTCTTTCTCCTGACCACCTTTTTATATCTTTTTTACGTAAGTGCTCGTGGCATGTGCAAATATGTCATTCTCCTTTTTTAGTATTCCTTATTTCCATTTCGCCTCTCACTTTATCCCGCTTGGGACCCCAGCTGGGAAGATAATCGTTTTTGGAAACTTCTTTCTTAAGTTCATATGTTTCCAGTAAAGGGAACGTTTTCATTTTCTTCTTTCTGTCTGGTTGTAATGATCTTTCTCCTTTTTTATTGTTCGATACTCCTGGTCTAAATAATCGCTGTCAAAGTTGTGCTACCTAAAATACTTATGTTAAAACTCAAACTCCAAAGTGATTTGTTATCACACCCCACACTTTCTGAGAAGCCATCAGCTGTCGCTTTCGCGACTGATGGAGACATTCTTATTTTATTTACCTTTGCTTAAAAAAAAGAAAGACGTTTAAAGCTCCCTGAAATGCCGAATTAGAGCGCAGCTCTTGAGGACGAGGAGGGGAATGTACTGGGGAGAGATTACGGGGGAAAGGCGCGGGTCACGAGTGAAACCCCCGCGTTGCATGATGGGACGTTTCCCACAATGCAACGCGCGGGATCCTCGTATCGTCACTCGTAACCATTGTGACGTCACGTGTGACGTCATTATGGAAAACGTCCCATAATGCAACACGAGGTTACGCCAAAACATTCCAGAATGCACCACGCGGTTACGCCGAAACATCGCATAATGCAACGCGCGGGTCTCACTCATGAGCCGCGCGTTACAGTATGGGATGTTTCGGCGTAACCGCGCGGTGAATAATGGGAAACGTCCAATAATGCAACGCGCGGGTCTCACTCGGGACCCATGCGTTGCATTATGGGACGTTTCCCATAATGCACCGCGCAGTTAACCAGACGGCGATGGCGACGCCGACGGTAACGCCGACGCCGCTCAAGCCGGAAACGGGCGCATAAGAGCTGCGCTCTAAAACGGAAAGAAACTTTAAAAGAAGTCCCTGCATATTGGCAGTGTAGTAGAAAACACCATTCAAATAAACGACTGCGAAGAAGAATTAGGGAACGGAATAAACAGCTGCAGAGGACTGCATTCTCGCTAGACTTCCTCAAAACAGTGGCATCGACTGCAATTAAATAAATACACGCGTTTTGTTTCAACTTCCTCGGGGGTTCAGGGTACACTTCCAGCCGAGCGTACAGACACAACTGAGATGTACAGTAGAAGTAAACGCCTGCGAAGATATAATATCATCGAGTTTCGCTACGTCATCAGTATCGCGAAAAATTAATAACGAGTTTATAACTGTCACGATCGTGAACCGGAGGAGGAAATAGAAGAAGACGAGAAGGCGACCGATGCGTGGTGCGGGGAAAAAGAAAGAAAAGAAGAGGTTTTGGAACGAGCATCAAGAGGAACGAGACAGCACTGGTCCGGTGAACAGCACGGCGACTTCGGCTACGCTCCGGAGGAAGCCCACCCGAGGCCCGCTCCCGGGAGTCCACCGTTAACCAACGGGGCGGCTTCGGCTACGCTCCGGGGGAAGCCCCACCCGAGGCCCGCTCCCGGGAATCTACCGAGATCAACCAACGAGGCGTCCGCCGTCAGAGCGGCAAGATGATGTTCTTCCCCAAGGAAAGAGACCTGAGAGCGCACCAGAGCCGGGACACTTCAAGGTTGTGAGTGCTAGGGGTGGAGACTTGGGTCTAGGGGACTAAGACAATACGGTACCGTACGGTTTCTGATGCCTTTCGCTTTTGTTTATTTATGTAAATACATGTACATACGGTGAAATTTCGTAACCTGTTCGTCCGGGTCCTCTGATTTCGGGGTCCGTCTCGGTCGAACGTGACAAATTGGCGAGCCTGCCAGGATCCCTTTTTTTTCCATCAAATTTTTGCTTGAATCACGTCGACCGGGACACCTAGATATCTGTGAAACCGGACGCAACAGCATGGAAAACGACAGATTGATCGCGGCCGGGGAAAAGTTAGGTTATGTAGGGGAAGAATTGAAGAAATGGGTTGAGGATGAAAAGGCTAGTGCTCGAGAAGAAAGGGCAAGGGCAAGACAGGAACGGGAGTTGGAGGGAGCACTGTTGGAAAAAGAACGAGAGGTTCTACAACTTAGACTAGCGCTACAGGAAGGAGCGGCGTCGGGTCGCGAAAGGATCCGAGGCGAAGGGGAAGGTGCGCCGCCAGGACACGGACACCAATTTAGTCCTCACAAGTTGATTCCCCAATTTAATGAAGAATGAAGACCGAGATGATTTAGATGCGTATCTACAGCGTTTCGAACGCACCGCGACGGGTCTCGACTGGCTTCAGCAAAAGTGGGCCACGACGTTGAGTCTTTGCTTGTCCGGGGAAGCACTGACGGTAGTTGGCCGCCTGTCCCCAGCAGACGCGCTAGATTACGCGAAAGTCAAGCTTGCACTCACGCAAAGATTCAGGTACACTAAAGAAGGCTACAGGGAAAGGTTTCGCGAAGCTAAACCGGAAAACGGAGAAACGAGGAGGCAGTTCGCCGCCCGGCTTGCAGGGTATTTCGACAGGTGGATCGAGGTCGCTGGAGTGGAGCGGACATTCGAGGCCATCCGAGACAGCGTATTAGTGGAGCAGTTCTTACTCAGTTGCTCTAGCCGGTTGTCGGTATTTCTACGGGAACGAGACTGCAAAACCTTAGATGAGGTAGCATCCAAAGCGGATCTATATCTAGAGGCCCAGTTGCAAACAGGAGCGAGTAGGCCGAAGATGGAGGACTGCACCAAGAAGTCGAGTGCTGGAGAGACAGACAAAGCGACGAGCGGTGCAAGCAGAAAAACCATCCGATGCTTCCTCTGTAATAAGGTCGGCCACAAGGCAGAAAATTGCAAGAACCGCCCGCCTACGTTCAAAAAGCTGACGTGCTGGAATTGTGGAAGACCCGGGCATCGAGCCGAGAATTGTGGGACGAGACAAAACGATCGACCTCAAGCGTCCTGCGTATTAGCTGAGCAAAGCGACGGCAGTGCGGCCGAGTTTGATGAAGCCTATGTCACGCTTCAGAACGGCGCCAAGATCCCAGTGATCAACGCGGCCGTAGGACGAGCTCCAAAGTTTCTAGTGGAAAACATGCCGGTAGTGGAGGGACGGCTAGGTGACCGCAAAATAACGGTTTTGAGGGACACCGGTTGTAATACGGTCGTTGTACGAAAGGAGATGGTTCAGCCTGAGGAATTTACCGGGCAGTCCAGTCCAGTCTATCTGTTGGATAGGACCGTGAGGTATGTGCCGGAAGCGGAGATCAGGGTGAGGACACCATACTTCACCGGAAGGGTAAGGGCGAAGTGTATTAGTAACCCGCTGTACGATCTTGTGCTCGGTAACGTGCCGATGGTGCGAGGCGTTAATGATCCGGACCCGAAGTGGAACGAAATGGAGGAGGCAAGTCCAGCTGGAAAATTGGACAGGCAGACGGCCATAAAACAAAACCAGGAGACAAGCCAAGAAAAAAGTGCAGAACAAGCTCCCAAGGGCTCTTCCGAATCATTGCCGGAGAACACCCCAAGCTCGGGACAACGCGAGGACGAGCCCATGCTCATCGCGAACGCGACAGAGACAGGAAAGAACAAAGATCAATCCAAAGAGCCGCGAGCCGAACTGAGGGTACCGCAGGTTTCGCCACTGGAAGCGACAGCCGAAGAGATGCTCAAGGAGCAAGAAAACGACAAGAGCCTCGAGAAATGTTTCCACAACATCGGTAAGACCTTTCCTAAGCATGGAGGAAGAACTAAGCGAAAGTTCTTTATAAGGAACAAGTTGTTGTATAGGAGTGTCATCTACAGCTCCGGAAGAAAAACGGATCAGCTGGTGCTTCCCGAGAAGTTCAGACAAACCGTGGTAGCCCTGGCCCACGATAGCATAATGTCGGGTCACCAGGGGATAAACAACACGATAGGGCTGGTCGCAGAAGAATTTTTCTGGCCCGGAATGCAGAGTGAGATACGAAGATACGTGCGATCTTGCGACGTTTGCCAGCGCACCGTGCCTAAAGGAAGAGTGGGTAAGGCACCCTTGGGGACCATGCCAACCATAGCGACGCCCTTCCAAAGGATTGCCATAGACATCATTGGCCCCATTACGCCGAAGTCGGATTCGGGAAAGAGATACATCCTGACCATGGTGGACGTTGCCACTCGCTACCCGGACGCGGTAGCTTTGCAAAGCACTGGTACCCCAGAGGTGGCGGAGGCGTTGATGGACATGTTCGCCCGATATGGCGTACCGGAAGAGATCCTCAGTGATCGAGGATCAAATTTTACATCGGACCTTATGAAGGAGGTGGGCCGACTGTTGTCAATGAGACACCTCCTAACGACCCCCTACCATCCTATGTGCAACGGCCTTGTGGAGAGGTTCAATGGCACATTAAAACAAATGCTCAGACGAATGTGCCAGGAGAGACCTAAAGACTGGGACCGGTACTTGCCCGCTCTACTTTTTGCGTACCGAGAAGTACCACAGTCCAGCTTAAAATTCTCTCCATTCGAACTCTTGTATGGGAGAAGAGTACGAGGACCGTTAGCCATCCTAAGAGAAGTCTGGTCCAACGAAGCAATGAAGAAAGAAACAAAGACTTCGTATGGGTACGTTTTAGAGTTGAGGGAGAAGCTCGAAGAAACATGTGAGCTGGCCCATCGATGTCTGGAGGTAGCGAAAGAGAAATATAAGGGAAATTACGACCATAAGCGGGTCAAACGTGAAATGAAGGCTGGAGATAGGGCGCTAATACTTCTTCCAAGTGATAACAACAAGATGCTTATGCAATGGAAGGGCCCGTTTGAGGTCATGGCCCGAAAAAACGAAGTAGATTATGAGCTTGAGATTGGAGGAAGAAGCAAAATATTCCACGTGAACATCCTTAAGAAGTACGAGGAGAGGGAAGAGAGCGAACAAGTCGGCTTACGCTGTAGGGTGGCCGTAAAAGTCGACGAGGATAGCGACATCATCACCGAAGCAGGTGAGGACGAAGTTCCAATGCTCTCCCTGACAAAACAGCAAGACAAACGAGACGTGGTAGTCCATACCGATTTAAACAGAGAGAAAAGACAACAAGTGTTTGACTTGATCAGCGAATACGAAGAGATCTTTTCAGATCTACCGGGAAGGACGAACTTGATGACGTGCGACCTCCAGTTGACCACCCAAACGCCGGTACACATCAAACAGTATCCGCTACCATTGAAAGTACATAAGCTAGTGGAGGAAGAGATCACCGCGATGCTGAAGATGGGGGTTATCGAAAGATCGACGTCACCGTATAATGCTCCTATGGTAATGGTGAGAAAGCCAGACGGTTCGAACCGGTTCTGCATAGATTTCAGGCGTCTAAACCAGGTGTTGGTCTCCGATGCGGAACCCATACCAAGGCTAGACGTAACGTTTGCGAATGTGGGATGCAAAAAATTCTTCTCAAAACTTGATTTGACCAGAGGCTATTGGCAAATACCCATGGAGGAAGGGTCAAAAGCCAAGACCGCCTTTTCGTCATCAAGCGGATTGTACCAATTTAAGTTCATGCCGTTCGGGCTGAAAACGGCAGCAGCCACTTTCACTAAGTTGATGCGAAAGCTGCTGGAGGGTATCCCCGACGCACATCATTACATCGACGATGTACTGGTAGCAACAGACTCGTGGAAGCAACACGTCGACACGCTGAGAGAAATATTTGACAGGTTGCGCGCCGCCGGCATTACAATAAAGCCGAAGAAGTGTGAAATTGGATTCCAACAGATAAGCTTTTTGGGGCACCGAATAGGATTGGGGCTTATCGCACCAAGGCAAGAGATCCTTACGCGGATACAAGACGCACCCAGACCAACGACGAAACGTCAGGTTAGGTCATTTTTGGGGCTGACAGGATTTTACCGAGAATTTATACCAAACTACGCGGGAGTAGCGGCTCCTTTGACAAACCTGACGAAGAAGGGAGCAAGTAATGAGGTTGAGTGGGGTGAGCAGCATGAAGCAGCCTTCTCGCTCCTGAAGCAGTCGTTAGCCGAGCCACCCATTTTGCTGGCTCCGAATGTAGAGAAGGGATTCACTTTGCGCACTGATGCTTCTGACACGAGCATAGGGGCGGTATTACTGCAAGACCGAGACGGAGTATGGCATCCCGTAGCTTACGCGAGTCGTAGACTCAGCGAGGCGGAGAAGAACTTTGCGACCGTAGAAAGAGAATGCTTAGCACTGGTGTGGGCGGTGGAGAGGTTCAAGATTTATTTGTACGGCCAACATTTTCGGGTACAGACCGACCACCAGCCGCTTGAGTTCATCAACAAGGCTAAACACAACAACAGTCGCATCATGAGGTGGAGTTTGAAGCTGCAGGACTACAGCTTCCACATAGAGTACATAAAAGGAAAAGATAACGTCGGTGCCGATTACTTGAGCCGGATATAAACGTGTAATTAACAGAGGGTAGGTAATGGTAGGAAAACAGCGTTTCTCAGTGTTTCAGTTAGATTAGTTTTCTTTCTTTTTGCTGAGGACGAGTCACAATGTCCCTGCAGGCTTAATTGAGTAGGGCGATCGTATATCGATGGAGTAGCTGTGTTTTGAGGTTCGTGGGGAGGCATGGAAATCTCGTGGCGCTATACACGTGCCGGTTTCTGTTGATAAACAGGGTGGGGTTAGTACAGTGCCAAGAGTGTGGTAATGTGTTGTGCATGCGGATGCTTCAACGACAGGCCGTGTGCTGTGAGTAAAACGATACCCGAAGGGTTCTGCGGCACGCGCCCTGACAGCCGAGAAAAGACACCCAGGGAAAGGACACGCAAGTGTAAACGAAGAAGAAGAAAATTCACAAGATGAATTTTTCGAACATTGGGGGCATTGTCACGATCGTGAACCGGAGGAGGAAATAGAAGAAGACGAGAAGGCGACCGATGCGTGGTGCGGGGAAAAAGAAAGAAAAGAAGAGGTTTTGGAACGAGCATCAAGAGGAACGAGACAGCACTGGTCCGGTGAACAGCACGGCGACTTCGGCTACGCTCCGGAGGAAGCCCACCCGAGGCCCGCTCCCGGGAGTCCACCGTTAACCAACGGGGCGGCTTCGGCTACGCTCCGGGGGAAGCCCCACCCGAGGCCCGCTCCCGGGAATCTACCGAGATCAACCAACGAGGCGTCCGCCGTCAGAGCGGCAAGATGATGTTCTTCCCCAAGGAAAGAGACCTGAGAGCGCACCAGAGCCGGGACACTTCAAGGTTGTGAGTGCTAGGGGTGGAGACTTGGGTCTAGGGGACTAAGACAATACGGTACCGTACGGTTTCTGATGCCTTTCGCTTTTGTTTATTTATGTAAATACATGTACATACGGTGAAATTTCGTAACCTGTTCGTCCGGGTCCTCTGATTTCGGGGTCCGTCTCGGTCGAACGTGACAATAACATACCCCGATAATTAATACTAAGTATATAACTCTCAGTCGCAAAATATTGTGCCCTGCGAAATATTCCTAGAATCCACACTTCGCGATATTAGCAAAATATTGAGCCCGAGGAAACAAAGTCATTTATAGTAAACTGGACCCCTTTAAACCAGCGCCCACAGGTACGTGTTCTGGTTGTGGTCACGAATGGAAAAATATTAACCAATGTAAAGCTTAAAATAAACGTTTGTTAAAATGGCTGTGTGCCAACAAACCTAAACAAAACATGCACACACTGTGCGATAGCGAAGAACGAGCGTCTCCTCGATACCAGGCATAACCGCGGTCTTTATTTTCGCTATATGTTCCGGAAAGTATTCAAGCACGTTGAAAGCCGAGATTGGTCTAAAATTTTCCACAAGATTAAAGTAAAAATAAAAAAAACAAGAAGGAATCTGGCAAAACGGGGTTTAAGCCAGTGTTGGCTGAAACCCTACTCTGCCCGGACATTGTAAGTAACGGTGTTACCGGTAAAGGAGGGACTTTTCCGCTAACGTTGTAAAGTACGCTTTAGCTTTTCAAAATGGTAAATGGTAACGTACTTACGTTATTTATTTTGAGTAAAGTGTAATGTAGTTACGTTATTCATTACATAATTTAGGTTTTATCTGAAGATAGGCGTGTGGTAGACATATAAGCATCTGATGGCGACGGACGAAGACGTGTGCGGCAGCCGCTCCAAAAAGTTTTTTTGGCAGACAACAATTCCCGCACTGCTCGGGCATCTGTGGTCGGCGCTTCCATTGCCGGTGCATCAACGTCGCAACAGACCACTATGACTTGCTCATGAAAGATGGGTCAAACACGTAAAATATTTGTCCTGCACGAAACGGAAGGGTGACAGTAGTGTATTATGATACACGATTGAGCCGGAAGTAAACAAAATCTGGTCACGTACACGGAAGTAAACAAAAGCCGCGCACGTACTCGGCACGTGTCTTGGTTCCATCCTGTATCATCCTCCCACGTGACCATGACGTCAGGTTGTGTGGCCAGCCCGCGGGTTTAAAAGGAGTTGCGAAATGTCCTAAGACCAGCCCCACACAACAACAGGTTGAAACATGTCTGCGCGCGTCTTAAAAACAAAACACGATGAAAAAAAAAAATGTTGCGAGAGGCGCGCGGTTTATCTCGAAGAGTGACCTTGAAGCGGTTTGACGGGTTTTTGCTTCTTTTCAGCCACTGTCTCGTTTTAGTTGCTTAATGGCAGTGTCGTCGTCGGACGTGCGCATCCTATCAGCAATTGCTTAGTGGAAAATCTGCGTGAAACATTGCGACTTCACCGTTTAGTCCGATTGCCCGGCATATGACTCCCTGAGCGTACTCCAGCTTTGTGACTCTATAAAACTGCTTCGCACTCGAACTATCCAACTCACGCATGGTTTCTTTTCTCCTGATCTTCGCGCTACAAGGTGAGCAGACTAAAAGCCTCGCGTTTTCCTTGCTAATACGACTTTTTTTTTTTTTCAGCATTTGGTCATCGAGAGGGAGAAAAATCACCTCGGTCTGCCATTACACCCTTCTTGCACAGCAAGGTGAGCAGTCTATAAGCATAGCGTTCTCATCATCGCTAATAGGATTTTTTTTTTTCGATATCTCTGAAAAGGTCACCTAGACGACCCGGATCATCTAGCCCCCTCGGCACCTAAACGTCGGATATCTACGAATATCGTCCAGCCATCTCATCCCCATCATGGTTACTTGTCACTTGTGCTCTCCCGACGATCGGCAGTATTATTCCAGCGCAGACTCGCTACAAGTTCACTTAGCCTTGGTTCACAATGTGACTCCCTCGCCATGCATTCCCTTTTACGAAAGAGTGTGCGCTCTTCGTAATTATGTGGCTCAGTACGAGTTACACTTACACGAAAGAGACACAGAGGCGTATGACGTGGCAACCTTTCTTAGGCATCGTGCAGAGCATATGTCAAACGTGCTCAGACATTTTGGTCTGCCTCTGCGTTTTTTTGTGACACTCACTGTCGAGCTCGGACGTCTCCTTCCTGACGACGACATTGATGTGACTGTGCACTTTTTTCATAGTCAGGTCCAAACCGCATTTGTGGACGGTAATATCAATATTTCAATTCAGCGAGTCTCCACTGAAATAGCTGCCCGGCTGGAGCATTATCAGGAACAAGGCTCGGGATTATTTCTTGTCGGGATCAAAGGTTGTACTAATAATTTGGGCCGATTCCTTCCCCCGACCGTTGGTTGCCGACATTTTTCTCTGCCGAAGCAACTTGCCTCAAAGCAGTGCCTTGTCAGTGTCACTGAGCGTCATCACGAATCTGAACGGGACATGTGCTTTGTGTTTGCGGTGCTCGCCGTTTTGCATCCTGCGAGCGGGTTTTACAAAGGAAGAGCATCCTCGTATCGTGAACATATGTGCAAATATGTGTTTCCGAAAACGTTCCCTGTAACCTTCCCGCAGGAAGTGGGGGCCTTTGAGCGAAATAATTGTGCCTCAGTGAATGTGTTTGGTTATGACAGCGAGAAAAACTTTGTCTACCCACTGAAGGTAATTGATAACGAGTTGGAGCAGCACGTCGATCTTCTCCTTGTTGAGAATCATTTTGTGGGCATTGCAAACTTTGCGAGACTTTTTTCAAATGCCAAAAGCCTACGCTTTCGTTGTAAGAGGTGTCTGACCGGGTTTCAGAGGCAAGAAACCCTGTCTGACCATCTCTCAATGTGTAGGGACAAGAAGCCGGGCAAAACCGTCTTCCCAAACAAGGGTGACGAACTATACTTTCGGAGTACGCATGTCATGGAAAACAAAAATTGGGTTGTGTGTGTGTTTATACAGCCTAGAACTTGGTCTGCCTCACAGGGGCGACGAGTCTCCCAGCTGTAAATGAGAGTTCCCCTTTTATTGCGTTTACGACTTTGAAGCGATTCTGGAACCGACTCAGTCGACGGGTAATGTTTACGAGAATCACGTCCCCAGCTCTTTCTGTCTTCTCGTCATCCGCTCGAACGATTCGTCCATTGTTGAGGAATACCTTTATCGCGGACCCGACTGCATAGAAAGATTCATTTTGATTCTCAACTTTCTAGCGAAGGAAATACCCCGATTGATTAGGTCGAGTGAAGTGCCTCTTGAAATGACTCAAGAAAACGAGGCTTCCCACGCGGACTCTTCCCGCTGTGGTATTTGCTACGAAAGCTTTAGCAAGAAAATTAAAACTCACGACCACGACCACATGACTGGAGAGTATAGGCGGGCGCTTTGCTCCCAGTGTAACCTAAACCATCGAATCAACAAACATACCGTTCCACTGATAGCGCATAACCATTCCTACGACCTCAGCTTCTTTCTAGGCAAGCTTAATTTGTTCGAGTCTAAGGATATTAACGTACTCGGAAGCTCGTGCCAGAATTTTAAATTGTTAGAGATAGGCAACCTTCGCTTTATTGACAGTCTCGCATTTCTTAATGCAAGCCTGGAAACGCTGGTGCAAAATCTACACTCTAAAGGAACAGAACATTTTTGTTGCCTTCGTCAGTCCTTTCCCGAGCACGTCGACCTCCTTGCCCGCAAAGGAGTGTTTTGTTATAATTTTATTACAAGCTTTGAGAGTTACGAGGGTCAAAGCCTCCCGCCACGAGAGGCCTTTTTTAACAAGTTGACTGGGAGCGGGGTGTGTGAAGAGGACTACGAACATGCACAGGTCGTTTTCGATACCTTTGGTTTAAAGAACCTCGGAGAATACAGCGACCTGTACCTAAAGACGGACTGCCTCCTACTGGCCGACGTTTTCCAAAACTTTAGACGGTGGACGCTGGAGACGTACGAAATTGAGGCTCTACATTTCGTATCGTTACCGTCCCTAAGCTTGTCGTGTGCGTTGAAACAGTCGAATGTAATTAAGACTGCAGCTAATTGACGATCCTGACACCTATCTCATGATAGAACAGGTTATTCGCGGAGGGATTACCCAATGCACGACCCGTCATGCTGTCGCAAATGT